GCAAGAAGAAAGCGAAGATTTATTCGCGTGATTTTCATTAGGCAAAATCATAGTTGATTTTGTGTATTGTCGATGTTCCAAACATAATGGTGAAGACCGTTTTGTGACCGAAAGTCTTTTAAGCAATGTCGCACATAAATTTTCTCGATTTGCTTGTCATTGCCTCGGGACCCATGCCGATCTCTTTGCATGACTTTAATTGAATGAATTCATGGTCATTTCTGGGTATTGACAACATTCCCAATGTAATAGCAAAGTTCATTTTGCGAGGATGCTTCATTTGAGTGACATTGCCCGTCAATTTTGGGTGTCAATTATCCTTTTGGATCGATCTTGTCCGATTTGACTGTGAGGGTTTCCCATTTAGGCGAACTTAGTGTCCTGATTGCAACATCCCAGTCTATTTGGCAATCATAGATCATTTTACCCTTCAAGTATTGCGTCGCGTCGATAAACATGTTGCTTAATTCATCGATTTTGCTCCTTTTGTGTGTGGTTTAATGTGTAGGGGTCAACAATAAGTGAATATTTACTTGTAATTTCAATAACACTTTCATGCCAAGTCCACAAAATGGCACCTCTAGAAAATGTATCAGGCTATTCAATCGCACTTAAAAAGATGTAAATATGATGACTAATATTGAAAATAAGTATGTTTGTTTCATCATCACATTAAACAAGATTTGCAAGACAGTCTGAGGTATTTATAAAGGCAATATTTGAGTTTGAGAACCTAAAAAGTGATGCAGTGCATATTGAGGCCCACACCCATATTTCATTTATGCTCAGTATTCGATTATGCACTCTGCCTCCACTCTCACAGTACTATTTTTTGTTAGTAGGAAGTTATACCACTTTTTGCTGGTTATTATATTAATAGTAAGTATAGAATATACCATGGCTGTGATAGGAATACATATATGCTAGGTGTAAGGAAGAAAGTAGCTTTTTATTCTATTACAAAAATATACATAATACTATTTTGGGAAGAGTTTCCCTGTTCTTTTATTTTTCTTTGCTTTTCCATTGGTTTCAGGTCTCTGCCGGAGGTCCAATTGCTGCTGCCGATTCGTGGGTTGCATCAGGTTGGTATCAGAGCCGAAGTAGCGGGATGAAAAAAAAAAGAGAAGGAACCGGTTACAGAAGACAACCGAAGCTTGGAATCACTGTGAGAAAACCAGTCGAACATCATCCGACAAATGGAATTGTTGTCCACCAATGTTCAACACCTCTCCGTCGAAGTACGGCGTGAGTTCAATCTCAACTGGACAACGAAAGCATCCCATCATCATCGTCGAGTTCAAGCACCAGCTGTGAGTTCAGGAGCGCGGCGTGGTGTGGACCTTGATCAGCTAGGGCGTCGCCTTCCTCAACCGACACAAGAATTCTCAAATTTTGAAGCTGATTTGCAATGGCAGGGAGGATTAAATATGGGAATCTCTGAAGATGAGGAATACAGTGACGATAATGTAGATTTTTATAGAAGAGTTTGACGCCCACCTCCTCATCAGAGGAACCATGTTGAATTTAAAGTTAAGGTGGATATACCTAATTTTGATGGGCACCTTCATATAGAAGACTACTTGGATTGGGAAAAAGTGGTTGAAAAATTCTTCAACTACATGGAAATCGAGCCATCCAAGAAAGTAAAGTATGACGCATGTTGTCTCCAAAGTGGCACTAGTGCATGGTGGACATAGTTGCTCCAGATGCGGCAACGAGAAGGGAAGGGACTGGTACGTAACTGGACACGAATGAAGCATTTATTGAATTCTCAATTTCTACCGACGGATTATGAGTAGATTTTGTATATGATATTTCAACATTGCATTCAAGGCACCCGGTCCGTCAGCGATTATACGAAAGAGTTTCATCGCCTCAGTGCGAGAAACAATTTGAATGAGTTCATGAACCAATTAGTAACCCGCTATGTTGGTGGCCTCAAGGAGAGCATCCAGGATAAGCTCCAGTTGAATTCCATATAGTTGCTAGCCCTGGCCATCAATTTTGCTCTACGTTGGGAGATGCAACATAACCGCCCTTCCAAATTTTCATATCCTAGACGTCAATTTCAAGACCACCTTGGTGATCAGGTTAGAGGACGTTCAACTTCTGCTAAAACTCCTCCTAATGTCATGCCCCCACCTCAAACAACTTCACTGCCAAAGCCTTCAGGACAAGCTCCTGAGAATAAGGCTCCATCAAAATTCAAAGCCCTTGCCCAAAATAATCCTTATGCCCGGCCATCCACAATGAAGTGCTTCCGTTGTTTTCAACTCTGGCACAAATCCAACGAGTGTCCACAACGACAACAATTGCAGTTGTTGGAGAATGAAGATGGTGACAATTATGGTAAATGAGGAATATGGGCTCAAAAATGAGGATGTAGAGGCTGACGATGGTGAAACGTTGGTCTGTACGTTTGAAAAATTATTGATAGCTCCTCGACCCGCCAATACATTGCAACGTCATGCCATATTCAAGATACGGTGCACCATTAATGGGAAAGTTTACGATCTCATGATAGACAGTGGCTGCACGAATAATATCATTTTGAGATCGGTAGTCCCAGCCCTCCAGCTCAAAACGACAAGAAATTCGCAACCGTATAAAATCAGTTGGGTGAAGAGGGACATCAACATTACAGTGACGGAAATGTGCCAAATAACCTTTTCCATTGGGCGGCAATATTTGTGTGATGTGTTATGTGACATCTTAGACATGGATGTATGCCATTTAATTTTAGGCACCCCATGGAAATTCAATGCTAGTGTTATCTATGATGGTCGAGCTAACTTCTACTCTCTAGAATGGAAGGGAAAATGCCTACGACTATTACCTAGGCTCCATGATACTAAATCACCAGCCAAGAGCACCCCGGCCTCTACTGTAATTCATATTGTATCGGGACCAAAATTATTACTCAGTGGGAAGGTTCTTGATTCAATTCGGGCCCTGGTAATTACTAACGAGACTAGCGTACAGCATGGAAGCCTTCCTGATTAAATTATCACCTTGCTGGAAGAATTCAGTTCTCTATGCCTGCACGAGCTACTAGCCACCTTTCCACCAGTCCAGCACATTCAACATCAAATTGATCTGCTTCCTAATGCCACTTTGCCAAATCTACCACACTACCGCCACAATCCCAAAGAGCAACAAATTTTTAGTCAATCATTGAGGACTTACTATACAAACAGCTCATACAAGCAAGCATTAGTTCATGTATCGTTCCTGCTCTGCTAGTTCCAAAAAAAAAACAATGAATGACGATTATGCGTGGACAGTAGAGCTATAAACAAAATTACTATCAAGTACCATTTCTCGTCCCAAGGATTGACGAGCTTCTAGATCATTTAGTAGGGGTATATGTGTTCTTCAAGCTTGATCTATGCGACGGCTATCCCCAAATCCGTATTCGTCAAGGTGATGAATGGAAAATAGCATTTAAAATGCCTTTCGAATTATACGAGTGGAGAGTAATGCCCTTTGGCTTATGTAATGCCCCATCCACCTTTTATGAGACTGATGCAAGACATTTTGAAGCCACTTTTGGGAAAATTCTGTATTTCATACTTTGACGATATTTTGGTTTACAGTGACAGTACTTTGCTGCATCACCGATATCATCTTAAACAACTCTTTGAAATCTTGTAGAAACATTAATTGTTTCTAAACTTCACCAAGTGTCAGTTTGCAGCCCCTCAGGTCCAGTTCCTTGGCTTTGTGGTGTCCGCGAAAGGCCTTCAAATGAATCCAGATAAGGTAATAGCCATCCTCAATTGGTCCGTCCCGAAATCTTTCTTCAAAATCCACAATTTTCATGGCTTAGCGAATTTTTATTGCAAATTCATTAAGGGATTTAGTATGATCATGAGTCTCATTATTGAATGCTTAAAGTTGAAAACTTTCCATTGGAGCAAATGTCAGCAAAACAATTTCAATGCTATCAAAATGGCCTTGACATCCGCCCCCATCTTGGCCATTCTGAACTTTGATAAATTGTTCACTGTAGAAACAGATGCTTCCTCTCATGGCATTGGATCAGAGCTATCATAGGAAGGAAGGCCGGTAGCATACTTCAGTGAGAATCTCTGCCCGTCGCGCTAGAAATGGTCGGCCTATGAACAAGAATTATACTCGGTGATTCGTTCTTTGAAACAATGGGAACCTTATTTACTTCATCAAGAGTTCATCATCTGTAGAGATAACAAAGTACTTCAATTTATCAATAGTCAAAAACATGTAAATCGTATGCATGTACGCTGGGTTACATTTCTTCAGAAATTTTCTTTTACTCTGAAACATCAGTCTGGCAAAAGCAACAAAGTGGCTGATGCTCTCAGTCGGAAGCTGCTTCTCATAACCCAGTTACAAACTGATTTTTCAGGTTTGACTTGTATTAAAGAATTATATGCCACTGACCCTGATTTTACAAACATTTGGAAGCAATGTCAACCGCAAGGAACTGTTGCTGGGTTTAACATTCGGCTTGGCTATCTATTTCGAAATAATTTGTTATGCATCGGCCTGGCATCTTCCTGGCGAAATCATATTGTTCGTGAAGCACATTCGGGTGGAATTGAAACCCATGTCGGTCGAGACAAATCTTTGGCCTTTGTACAGTCTCGTTTCTATTGGCCTCGCCTCCGATGAGACATATATCATTTGGTTAATCGTTGCTTTGTTTGTCAAAGTTATAAAGGTGGTTCTCAAAATACAGGACTGTAATTGCCATTACCAGTACCCGATTCAATTTGGGAAGATCTCAGCTTGGACTTTGTGCTTGGGTTACCTTGCACTCAACGAGGCAACGACTCGATCATGGTCGTCGTTGACTGCTTCTCGAAAATGGTTCATTTTATAACATGCAATAAAACATCCAATGCACTACACATTGCACACCTATTCTTTCATCAAATCGTTCGGCTTCATGGAGTACCCCAGAGCCTCACCTCGGACAGGGACGGCAAATTTATAAGCCACTTTTGACGTAAATTATGGAAAAGGCTGGGTACCAAATTGTGCCTAAGTTCCACTTATCATCCGCAATCCGATGGGCAAACAGAAGTTGTAAATCGTACTTTGTGAATCATGCAACGGTGTCTAGTCCAAATCACCTAAGGCAGTGGGAAGAGATGTTAAGCTCCGCTGAGTTGGCTTACAACTCTATGATCAATCACTCGACTGGTAAGTCTCCTTTCAACATAGTTTATACTAATCTAGCATTGGATGTTGCAGTTCTCCCCAAATACCAGTCCGAACCTGCTTCCAACTTCACCAGAAACTATTCTCAAATGTTAGAAGAGGTTCGTAAGCAACTCATAAAGTCTAACCAATCATATAAAGCTGCTGCAGACGTTCACCGACGACAAAAATTATTCAATGTAGAAGATCTAGTGATGGTTCACATGCGTCGTGAACGCTTTCCCCCGGGCACTAATTATTCCAAACTGCATCGCCGAAAGATTGGTCCTTTGCTGATCATTGCAAAAATAAATGACAACGCCTATACTGTGGAATTACCTGCCGACACTCAGACATCCCTGACTTTCAACGTTTCAGACATTTGGCCTTACCACTCTCACGATGACGCTCCAAATATTACAATCAGCTCGTCGGAGTCGAGCTCTTCTTCTGCAGGCGAAGACTGATGTAGCGCATACTGAGGCCCACGCCCATATTTCGTTTCTGCTCAGTATTTAGTTATGCACTCTGTCTCCACTCTCACAGTACTATTTTTTGTTAGTAGGAAGTTATACCAATTTTTGCTGGTTATTATATTAATAGTAAGTATAAAATATACCATGGCTAGGATAGGAATACATATACGCTAGGTGTAAGGAAGAAAGTAGCTTTTTATCCTATTGTTATGGGAAGAGTTTTCCCTGTTCTCTTGTTTTTCTTTGCTTTTCCATTGGTTTCAGGTCTCTGTCGGAGGTCCAGTTGCTGATGCCGATGCGTGGGTTGCATCAAAAAATAGCATTGATTTTAAAGAAATTTATGATTTTGATTTTGCATTTCAATGTCACAAAGACAAAAGACCCTTCTCTCTCTCTCTCTCTCTCTCTCTCTCTCTCAGCAAAAGAAGATTCAGGTTTTAGTTTTAGATATCTTTCTTACTATTTTTTAAATTATGTTTTAGTAAAAAATTTGAAGTTCAAATTATTTTTTTTTACTAAAATACTGTTTTAATAAATAAAAAAAACTGTCCCAAACAATTTCTTAGTGATTTACAATGCCAAAATCTATTTTAATAATGGCAAGTGGTCATTTGATTAATTTAATCTTTCCAAAAAGATTTTTTAAAGTTGTAATAAAGTGGCAAAACGCAATCTGCATCTTTCTTTTTGGTTTATTGGGGAAAGATTATTCTAACATCATATTGCTTTTAAACTGCAAAAAAATTGAGAATAATTTAAAAAAACGTCAAACGCTGAGCATGCAAATTAGCCCTTTGAATATTTGAATATTTAATTTCTCCAATTACGAAATCTTAATTTTTTTTTCTTACAATTTGAGACAATGGCAAAAGCAACGTATTTTATAAAATCCAATAGGCTAAAAATAAAAGATATTTTTATCGCATGTTGAAAGTTATGTTTAGATGAACCATTACTGAAATTTTAATTTTAATTAAAAAAAAAATCCAAATAGAACAATTATTGATTGATTTAAAAACTATTTTGCATGTTTTTTTTTTTCTAAAACTATTCACTTAAAGTTTTGTTAGTGACAGCTTTCTTACTGCTTTTAAAACAACTTTTCAATACATTTTTTTTGTACTAAAATACTATTTTAAAAAATAATAAGAAAAATATCTCAAGCAAAACCTTATTAATAAAAATAGATTATTGAAGGGGCCTAATCAATCAATGAACTTTCATTTGCAATCTTAGGTTTCGTTTGGGATAATTTTTTTGCTAATTTATAAAATTACTTTTTAGCACAAAAATTTCTAATTAAAAAAAACTTATACTAAAAAGCTATTTGAGAAAGCAATGAGAAAATTGTCCAATTCATTTGAAATAATTTTCTTATTATTTTTTAAAGCAATTTTTTAATATAAAATTTCTTTGAAAGTGGTGAAAAAATAAGTCAAAAGTTATCCCAAACAAACTGGAACCATTTTGGTTAAAGCAACCACAAGACAATTGTGAAATAATTTTTTTTAGAATTGTTATAGATATTATGAACTTACTTTTATTCATTTTAAAAAATTGCAGTTATCACACTATTGCAGATCTAGAAGTTAAATAACTATTTAGCTTTCTTACTGCTTTTAAAATAACTTTTAAATAAAAAAAATTGTATTAAAAATCTATTTTAAAAAATAATAAGAAAAATATCTAAAACAAAACCTTATTAATAAAAATAGATTATTGAAGGGGCGTAATCAATCAATGAACTTTCATTTGCAATCTTAGGTTTCGTTTGGGATAATTTTTTTACTAATTTATAAAACTATTTTTTAGCACAAAAATTTCTAATTAAAAAAACTTTTTTACTAAAAAGTTATTTTAAAAAATAACAAAAAATTGTCCCAAAAAATTAATAGCCAAATGAATATCATTTAACAGCTAGCCCACTTCTAAATACAACATAAATATGGGACAAATCTAAGTGGAAAAAAAAAAAGGAAAATATTTTTAAAACCTGATTCATGAATATTATGAATTATGATATAGACTTCAAAGCTACGATATTATAATTGGTCAAACCTTCAACATTTGTGTCGCATTAATGTGGGCTATTAATGATTTTTCGCCATATGACATTATCTGGGTGGAGCTCCAAAGGAGAACTTGCCTGAATATATACAAAGGGAAAAAAATTATCTTATTTGGGTCATCGTCATTTGCGTCCAAATAATCACAATTTTGTCGATAAAAATATTAATTTGGTAAAATTGAGGAAGCTGAAAAGTTACGCAGTAAGAAAGTTATCTCAAATAAAATCTTACAGGCACTACAAAATTTGGTTGATATTAGAATCAAGACCAAACCACACCAACAAATTCTTGAAAATAGTAGTTATGTATTGCATCCATCTTGTTTCATAATGTCTAAGAAAGAAAAAAGCGTTATTTTATAAAGGAGCAAATTAAGTTTCAGAATTAGCTAAAGGAGGATGTTTAATATAAAATTTAAAAGGGAACAAATGCGTCAAATAAAGGAGAACATTCAGAATGCGCCAAATAAAATAGCTCATTCTGAATGCGCTATTATTAATTTATTAGTGACGCATTCAACTCAAATTTAGAGAGAGAAAGAGAACTAAAGAGAGAGCTAGAGCTGAATGTGTCAAATCATTTGACGTATTCATTAAAGTAGGAGAGAGAAATGATTGAGAGAAAGAGATAATGACAGAATACAAATGGGGAGAGAGAATTTTTAATTATATATATATTTTTACTTCTTCTATTTAATATTTTTAAAGATTATTTTATATTATATTATATAATATTAATTATAAATATAAGTTAAAATTTATTTTGGATATAAAAAAAGATTTAAATCTCCCCCCATCCGTCTCTCCATCATTTTTTTCTCCCTTCCCATTTGTCTTCTCTCCCCATCTCTCTCCTCATTTCTCTCTCCTGCTTTAATGAATACATCAAAAAATTTGAAAGATTGAGTTCTCTCTTTTTAGCTCTATTTCTCTCTTCAAATTTGAGTTAAATGCGCAAATAATAATAGCTCATTCAGAATGAGCTATTATTATTTGTCGCATTTTGAATGCACTATTTAATTTAACGCAATTAATCTTTTTTTTTTAATTTTGTATTTAACATACTTTTTAGCTAATTCTGAGTCTTAATCTGCTCCTTTATAAAATAACACCAAAGAAAAAAATTGATGTTACGTAAAAATTTGAATATATATTATAATCACTGCAAGTTGTGATTTGACTATTTTAACCTTTTCGAAAAGATTTTAATTTAATTATTACAGATGATAAAAAACGCATTCTGCATCTTTCTTATTTGTTTTTTGCGAAAAGGTTCAAAGGTCAAACGCTGAGGAAACAAATTTTCCCTTTGAAAATTATAATATTACACAGCTCATCTTGGACTGTTGGTTGAGAGCTTATGCTTCCAACTAAGAGGTCTTGGGTTCGAGTCTTTGTGTATGCGTTGTGTGTGTGTGTTTGCCTTAAATGGCCTAAATGTCCCAAAAAATAAAAAATAAAAAAAATTATAATATTTAGTTCTGCCAATTGCGAATATTTAATTTTTTCTGCTTACAATTTCAGATAACGGCAATTAGCAAAATCATCATATTTAATAAAATCTATGTGGCCTCCGAAAATTCACAGAGCTTTAAGAATATCATAATAAATTTTTTTATATAATTTAATGAAATAAAATATTATCATATTCTCTATGTCATACTGATCTTAACTATTGCTTAAGCATTAATTGGCTCTAAAAGATGCTTAGAAGCTTGATCTATGATGCATTTTCATCTAGTTATTTTGGAGTTTTAGGTAAGGAATATTGATCAATCTAAAAATTTAAAGAAAGGTTGCAATAAGGACTAAGATATTTTCCATGATTTAGTTAATATGGGCGGCCAAAACTTATTTTAATTATGTGAGATCAGCATTTTCTATGAGCGTAAGCTTCTATGTCATCTCTATCATATTGAATTTTTGTTTGGGACATCTTTCTTACTGATTTATGAAACAATTTCTTTGTAAAAATAATTTTTGAATTTAAAGTTTTTTACGAAAAAGCTTTTGCACTAAAAAACTGCTTCATAAAACAGTAAGAAAGATATACAAATAATATCTAAAAAAATATTTGATACATGGTATGAGATACCTAAAAAAAAAATACACATTATATAAAGCCAAAGTGATATTTACATCCATATTACTAGGGGTGTCAATATTTGACACGACA